TACTACATCTCAAATACCTTCGTCAACCCACTCACCTACCTTTAACAATATCATGTAACAACCCATCACTTCCTTATTCCCATCCCAATCCACATACCCTCCCAAAATAGTTAACGATTATGAAACTGATGTGAGTTCATGGGTTCATTTGCTGAAATAGAGTTCAATTCTGAAGAAGAGAACATTCCTGATAACATGTTGATGTCCGGGAAGCAATTTAAGATTCTAAATAGGAAACTTAATTCATTGCTACAATTACAAGAAGATGGAGGGGGTAAACATTCGGTGTCTGGAATAGAGTTGGATGTGATGCTGAAAGCTCAAGAGCATCGTATTCAGGATAAACTTGATCAGATGGACAAGTCCAACGATTTAAGGGTCAAAGCTCAATCTGATTCCTTTACTGGAGCACTTAAAGAGTTGAAGGTAGTTGCGAAGAAAAGGCATGTACTTTTTTTAAAAGATGGCAAGACTGTTCGAGAATATGTGAATAGAAAAATTGAAGAATTACGAGCTGATATGGAAAAGGAGATTACTGCTTTGAATCACAATTATTCTTCTCTTCTCACGAAGGTTGATATAATTGCTGATGCAGTGACAAAAATGGTTCAATGGTATACCTCCATGGCTCCGAAACTTGATAAGAAGGCTGAAGTGGATGCTACAAGTTTTAGAAATGTTGATAAGTTGTTGGTTGAATTAAAGGATCTCATGTCTAAGTCTGGATCTTCGATGTCTTCAACACTTACTCCTGAGTTTTTTAATCAGAAATTTCGCTTGCTTGAGTCAGCTATTCACAACGATTTGGCTCCACTTGCGAAGCTTGCAAATTTTATGCCAACGGATGCCCCACCTGTTGTCACAGGGGTGCAAGGGGGAGAAAGGAGGAATGTTGGCATTGGTAAAGGCGAAGGAGGTTCTAGCAACACAGATGGTGATGAAAAAGTAGTTGGAAAAGTGTTAACTACTCAAATTTCGACTTCTTTACCACAAACATCTAGTGTAACATCATCATCAACAACAACAACAACAACAAAGCCTTTGACAAAAGGAATTGTAATTGGAGGTTCAAGTTCAATTTCGAAACCCAAGCCTACTAAAGCAGATAAAGACAAAGGAAAAGGTGTAAGTGTTGAGCTTTCGAAAGAGGAGAAGAAAGTTGCTTTTGAACTAGAGATGGAGAAACAGAAGCAAATTCAAAGTATTCTTCGTCAAAGAGCAAATGATCCTCCTGGTCTTAACAAAGGCGATCCTACAAAGCTTTATTCTTATGCTCATAATCAAAGCTTTAACTGTTACAGGAGAGACGCATGATTTCGAAAAGGCTCCTAAGAAAAGCTTCGACACAGAAAACACAAATTTGAATCAGTTGGACTTCCCGCTTAACAAGATGATGTTCTTGGATGAGCAGTTTGAAATTGCTGATAAGTATAAGGACAAAGTTGAATACAAGTGTATGAAGTTTCAATTCCATGCAGTGCTTGGAAAAAGGGAGGAGGATATCTGGTCTTTAGTCAAGATAGTTCGGGTTCTTGGCATATCTAAAGATGTTTTATTCGAGGGTATGTTGCAGAATTATCGATATCATGCAGTCCGAGCCAACAATGTTGCATTTGACTTATCGGTTGCAGACTTACCTTTAATGAATCTTCATGATTTGTTAGTTGTCATGAAGATTATGATGGGTGTCGATATTTCAAAGCTACAAGTGACGAACAAAGAAGATTTTATGAATGGTTTTGCTCACTTGAAGGTTTTTATAGATGGATACTATGGAGCTTTGGCATTAACTGATATCGAACTGGCAAAAGCATTGGGCAAAGAAATCACAGTTCCTCAAACAATGCTAATGAGTAAGGCTAGTTTGAAAATTTTTTTAAGATGGGGAGATTTGCTTGAAACCACTAGGAATTGTGTTTGTTGGCAAAAATAAGAAGGGAAACAACTCAAAAAATAAGTTTCAAGTGTGTGATGTTGAAAGGTATACCACGCCTCATTACACAAATCTCATGGTTCGAATAAACAGTTGTGCCAAGAACAACGAAAAGGAAAAGGCTGAAATTCGGAAGATTGTCAATTGGTATGCTGAGATTCGAAGGGTTATTCACCAAGCTGCAAAGATGTTGATGACCTGATTCATCACTGCTCACAATGGGGGAGAATGTAGATGTCGAATATAGTTGTGAGGTGTCGAAGGTCATAGATAGTTTCGATAGTTTGTAATGTTATTATAAGGACACTTTATGTATCGAAGTCTTCAGTGTTTAGTCCCTTATATTTTTTGTGTGCTTTCATGTTCCCTATAAATAGGGATGTGTACTAGAGATAGATAAGAACTTTTCATGATTTTGTCTAGAACTCTTTGTACTCATTGAAAGCATAATAGAGCCAAACAGATATTATTTAGATCTCGTGTTCATCATTCTTACTTGACTCTGATCTAGTAATTCATACTCGATTTCATTAAAACTACAGCGGGTAACAAATTAAAGTTATGGGGATGGTCCGAGTTAAAAATTCTTTTCAAGGACGAAGTGTACAAGTAACACCAAACCATAGGGACCATCCGTGCAATTTCTCCTTTTTTTATTGTATTTTAATTTATTGAAATAAATCTCAACATTAATTAAATGGCTTTAGTACAGTTTAATTATAAATCCTATAAATCATTTAGATCTCAATTAAATCCTTAAGATCCTAAATATCCACCTTTTATTTATTTTATGATACATTAAACATAGATCTCAATTAAATCCTTAAAATCCTAAATAATCACATTTTATTTATTTTATGATACATTAAACATATAATCTTACACGATAAACGTACGCAAAGCTTAATCCAATATAACAAAAAAGTAACTTCATTGACGGAAGAATTTAGGTCGTTACAATATGAACCAATCAACAAGTAGAGGATACCGCCCATATATAACTCCCAATCTAAGCCTATACTACTTGAATAATCAATGTATGATTTAAATTTTCAAGATGTAAATACCGGTGATACCTCCTTTCATAGCTTGCATCCTTTTAGATCTTCAAGTTTCTTCTGCCAAACCTTACCCCTGGAACACGTTCTTAAGTTGGTTCGTCATTCCATGTGCACCAAAATGCTCTACGAACGTCATGACTGACATGAGGTAATCTATTTTATTTGAGTAGTTGAGCTATATTTTATGCCTGTCTCATACAGTCCCAGTAGATCAAACTGGAAATCCTTTAGAACATGTTCCTTAATATGATGAACACACTTGATTCTGAAAGCATGGAACACGGTTCATGCCTTTGAGCTTATTTTTTTTGAGGATATTTTGAAGTAAAATTTAGTAAAGGAAGAATTTTCATTAAAGACGTCTATATGACTATGAAAAACATTGTGTGATTTGATTATATCCTTTCTAAATTAATTACCCAAAAAATATTTTAACAAAGGCTGAGACTCATATTTCACTTCTAGTTGTGAAGGGGTTTCCGGTAATGAAAAAGAGAAGTTATTATCTCTTTTATCATATGATCCAAAATAATATTTTAGTATAATAATAATTAGCGATAAAGCAGTTTTTTTATAATGTAGTTACTTTTGATTATATATATCTTTAATATTCTAACTACAATTTTACTTGTATGAAAACAAACATTCGTCTATCTTTTCTATTCTAGTAAAAAATAGTTTTTTTTGCCACGTATCATTCATTTAGACCTACTAATTAATAATATGTCATTTGTCAATCTTTTGTTCATCCTAATTAATATTTTGTCAAGTGTCATTATACTCCTTCAATTTACATATATAACCACTAAATTTATGGATACTAAAATCATGGATTTCGTTTTTTTTTTTTTTTGTAATTATACCTAATTACATAAAAACAATTTCTGCTCCTTTATCTTCAAAATAAATTTCATATATTCATTTAAATCAACGATTATAATTTTACATAACTAAAAAATATATATCTTAATTAATAATTTATTTAAAATAATTTATTAGTAATTATTAGATTTTCTATGAAAACTTAATTTATTTTGTAACTGTGGTTCCCACGGGTTATAACTTAGTATCTAATAAAATAAGACAACTATACAATTAAAGTTTCTATGTTTTGCTATATAAAACTAGAGAAACGATCAATAGATGATTTTACATTAAAATTTTAATATATGTAAATTTATGGGTACATTTTTATACAAATACAAATAAAAATGTAGACACAAGTACATGGTTGGTATTTATGGTTTGTCAAAACATACTAATTCAGTACAATATATGTGGTACTTCTTTATACAAGTACAAATAAAAATGTAAACAAACATATGCGGTTAGTCTTTGTGGTTTGCCAAACAGACTAATTCAGTATAAATATCTATGTTACCACCTCTTTAGTCATGTGTTTTTACTTCTTGCACGGTTAATCCTTGTGGTTTCATTTTTTTAAATAACAGATCTGAAATTATTATTTTACCTTTGTTTATTTTTTTATTAGTTTTTGTTTCTTTTTTCCTATTTTAAACTAAGATACAATACCAACCTACAAAAAATCATCGTATTGTCCCTTTCATAACCACCACCTATTGTCACCACCAATGATTATAGATTTCAGATCCACATATGATTTCATAAATAAAACCCACACACCATGTTTCTGAAGAGAGATCGGCAATGATGTTTTTGAAAAGAGATCGGTAGTGGTGTTTCTAGAGAAAGGCCAACGGTGGTATGTCTGAAGAAAGAAGGTTAGTGGTTAGGTTAGAGAATAGTGGATGAGAGAAAAATATAGGGTTTTAGGTGTAGTGGGTTAGGGTTTTTTATTTTCTCTTTTTTTTTAAATTAAAATTAGTTTTAAAAAATATATAAAATAAATGTAAAAATGTATAATTGTCATTTTACGTGTCTAAATGATCAACCATGCAAAAAAAAATGAAACCATAGGGACCAAATGCCTAGTGGCTATAATAGTTGTACTCAACTAGATTGTTTTGATAAAACACATGGACTAATCACGTAATTTTGTCTAAAATGTATACAAATTTACATTCTAGGCCTGGACCTTCCGGGAACCTCCACTTATCTGAGCAATAATTATAAACCCTATGATACTTTTGTGCCCATTTCAGTTTTCTAACTGCCGCCGTGTTAAGCTTTTCTCGGAACCATGATCGCTTGGTTGAATTCAATGGGCACGAAGATCCTTTCAATGACGACCAAATGCAAGCATCAGCGTTGAAGTTACGGTACGCCGCCGTGAACGGAGCTCGACTCCAATCAGTTTTCACACGCCCACCCTTTGTTGCCCATTCTTCTGCATTCCATATGCTCGAATGTATTCTCATTGGTTGAGTGTTTGGGAAAGGAACGCCAATTGCCTCGTTGTTTGTAAACTCTCTAATCGGAATCTCATCAACATAAAACCTTTCAATTAAACATATTAAAAGATTGTGTTATTACATTCTATAATATATAAAAATTATATATTCTATAATATATAAAAATTATATACTAGTTTTTTTCGTCATTGATATTTTTCTCATGATAAATAATAATTATTTAAAAGGGAGAAAAACAAATTTAGCCTAATTCCTAATCATTTGTCAAGAAATAGCCAAAAAAAAATAAGAAAATACTCAAATAATCTAGTAAATCACTAATGAGTCTTCATAGGTCACGATTTCATTATTTGAATTGTGATTTTATCCAAAAGTATATTTTTTTTTATTTTTGCCATTTTAGCATTGCAAAATCACAGATCGCATCTACTATCTGATATTTTCCAATAGAGAAATTAAATATCGTCCTATTTTTGTTCCTATAAATTCTCCTACCCAATTAACTGTTGACATGTGTCATATTAGTATATTAAAATATCATTAAATGGATATTAAATTTTACATATGTTTATAGGAACAAAAAATAGAAGGATATTTAATTTTGATAACTCAGCGAAATTGTAGAAATCTTTAATGGATAACCTATTTAATTTCGATAACTCTACGAGCGAAATTGTAGAAATCTTTAATGGATAACCTTACATATTTACAATCTCAGTTAAAATGAAATGACAGATGCCATCTCCTTTCTTATACAAAAATGACAAAAATCGAAAAAAAAAATTTATATTTTTGGGTAAATAACAGATGGGTCTACGAATCACAACACACGAGAACCCACTAGTGATTTCATAGGCTATTTTGTTCTTTTCTTGTGTTTTTGTTTTTGTTTCATGGCAAATGGTTAAAAAATTATGCTAAATTTGTCTTTATACTATTTAAAAAATTGTGTAGTATTAGAAAATGGAAGGAAGAACTAAATAAGGCTGAATTATTAAGAACTTCAAATTTTATGAAAAAACACGCATTAGTTCTTTTTACATTAATAAACAAACGAAACAATAATATTTTGCTTGTCGAATTAATTTGTTAATGTGTCCTTGGTATTTTGTTTCAAAACTTTTAATTAATTTATTGTTTTTTTTTCTTAAAAGTATACAAGTTAAAAAATGTTTGATAAATCAAAAATGCTTTATTAAAATGATTTCTCCTAAGTATTAATAATGAGTTTTAAAAAAGTACTAACTTCTTGTGATTTTTTGAAATAAAAAGACCATACTATTTTTAATAAACATCACACTCTTTTTTTATTTCCTTCAAATAAGCATCACAAGTTCTCTCTTTTCACCCTTTTTTTGGTTATTTTAAAAGTAGTTTTAACAAACATAAAAAAAATGTGTGTATAACTTATACTAGTTGTAAAACTCATGTATTACATGAGTTAATTTATAAAAAAAAGATTAAATATAAAGATCAAAATATTTGAGAACTTTGAATTTATAAGAAAATAAGAAAAATAATGAATTATTATAATGGAAATGTTTTTTATCTTTTAAATTTAAATAAAAAAAAAAAAAAAAACTAATGAGCTTTAATTTTAGGAATTTTGAAATTAAAATGTAAGTTTATAAATGAAATTGATATCCATTTATTATTATTTATTGTAATTATTACATTAAAATATTATGTTAAATTTAATAAAATAGAAAAAACTATAAAATGACATGTGGAAAAAAATTAATTCAAAATAGCCACAAAATGACATTTGGCAAATTGAATGACAGTGTGACAAGTGGCAAAAAAAAACTTTCATTTATTAGAGAGGATATGTATAGTTTTTTGTCACCGCATTAGCTACTACAAATATAATTTAAATTTTCTTATTTTGCTATCATACAACATTATAAATATTTTTAACAATTTTTTTTTTGTTTTTGAAATATAATTCCAAACACCCCCTTGAACGTATGACAAAACAAGGATAAATTAATTTGTAACAAAAATATGACTTGTTTAGAAAGCTTTATTTTCATCAAAATTCCCCATTAAATTATTATTCTGTATTAAATTGAAAAAAAAAAAGACATATATAATAAGTCCCTAATAGAAAAGGTTCGATTGGATGCATAAAGTATAAAAATATTTAGAAAAACACAATACACTTACGAAAATGAAATGGACAAGTCGATGAAAGCATATTTGTAAATTTTAGAACTTGAAAACCTTATTTCACATTATTTTTTTATTAAATTAATTTTTTTATAATGTTAAAGAAAACATTCACATATAGTTTTAGCAGATTAAAAATATATTCCACAACAAACCTTTAAAAAAGTTTTAGCTTTTATCTTTTAACATAAAAGACATTCAAGCTTAAGAAAAAGAAAACTCCAAGTCGTGAATTCAAGCTTAAAACTTGAATTTAATATATAAAAATAATAAAATAATAATAATAAAAAAAAAAAGAAACTTCACTTATTTATTTTAAACTAAACACTTTTTATTTTACATAAAGTTTTTTCACGTAGCTTTGAGTTAGTATTTACCTTTTATGATTTACTTAAATTTACACATTTCAAAATTTATAATTATTTTTGTCAAACATTTATACATAAATAAATACTACACCCTCCAACTTCTAGTTAATAGTTATTTTTCCCGAACATATCCTAAATTACAATATTTAGTTTAGCATATGATAATATCCATTAAATCATGCCCATTAAATCACATTCACACAACGCTTAACCTAATATAAGTTGTACACATATCTTTGACTTTAATGCAATATTTGTGACACAACAAGATCTATCATGGAATAAAACAACAAATTTGGTCCATCCATAAAGAAATCAACTTTCTTGTAAACCTAGAATATGTGATCAATAAGTAAAGCATCATAAACTTGATTTTCACGCAAGCGAAAGTTTTTACTTACAATATACGCTGAGGATTCCAGATAATAGTATACGTGTGAAAATCGGCAGTAGGGTCGAACCAAAGGAAGAATTGTTGCTCTCGATTACCCTTACCTTGGCTATACACATTTGTGTGTAGCGTATAAGGGTCGCCACTCGTGTTTCCCAAAAACTCAAAGTCTATCTCATCATGAAAGTCCCCTTCAGATGACAACTTTAACATACAAAACAAATCAAGCAACATCGTTAAAGTCATCAGAATATAAATGGAAAACAAACAAAAAATGAAAAAGAAATACAAAATACTTTTAGTTTTATTATTATACCAATTTTGCAATTGATTATTTTTAATGTTCAAATGACAATTTTTCCTAGTTACTTAGACAAAATACTTAAAATCAAAACATGTTTCATTATTTTGTGAGTGAATAATTATGACTTATGAGAAAAAATACTTTTATAATTAAATTGATAAAATAGTAAAAATATATTGTAAATTTTGTATTATGTCATATATTTATGGTTTTTAAAATGGTTAAATCAATAAAATAATAAAAGTATAATTAATTTTGTGTATTTTACTTAAAATGAAATTAAGTTTTTACATAATAAGCTGTTACAGTGCCAGCGGAGTTCCCTTCTACTAGCTTTAGCTGCATATCGATTTTCCCAAACAGATATTCATCTTTAGATCGGAATCCAGAACCCGATCTTTTATCAAGTCTAAGCGTCAGCAATTCACCCTCTTCATGTATGTCAGCATGATCATCTCCCCAAGTGATCTCAAACAATCGATCAAAAGTACCATTTGTTATAACCCTTTCATCAAAATTCCAAATTACCCAATTAGCCATAGCATTTGAAGGTCTGTACATTTCGCATTAGGAAGAGTATGAATGATTAACTCGTTAATCGTACCTTGATTGAACTTCATCCGGAATGGGAGTAAGAAGGTAAGATGTGGGTTGGTAGCGACGGGGACCTTTTCTGGTTCGAGCGATGTATACGTCGACCTGTTGGAGAAGGACTCATGAAGAGAATGAATGATGCACAGACTGTGTTCGATGAAATGCTTGAATGAAATGAATAATACCTGGTAGAGAAGGAAAATGGAGACTGAAAGAAAAGCAAGGAAGGGGATGCAGCTTGGGACGATGGAGCGTGAGCGAGTGAGGTGTGAGGTTGAAAGCCTTGATGATGATGACGATAGCAAACCCATTGGAGGAAAGTGGTGGTTCTTGTGGTGGTTCTGCGGCCTAACATGGTGTCTTCTCCGATCATATCTCTCTGCCTCATTCTTTTTTAATTTCTTTCTTGAGGTCTTACCTTTTTCTCTGTTGTTTTCTAGGGTTCCTCATTTTTAGTAGAATCATCGGCTACCATTTGGCATAATGTTGCATATTTCCATGAATCTTGGAACTACCTTTCTAGTGCATTTTTTTCATTCTAATATTATAAGAAAACAATGAAATACGAGTAGTTTAATGCAAACAAATAATTACATCTTTATTTTGCTGCATAATAATAACATTTTCGTCGATATATAAAGTCGTTCTGATTACATGATTGGAGCATAAAAAAGTTTGATGATACGATGTTAGAGTTGAGTAGACTTTTCAACATACAATCTTTTAATAATGGAGAAAAAAATGAATATACAACGTCTTTTATAAACAGAAGTAAAAACAAGATGTTAATGTTAATAGATAATAAAAAACAAATAACATAAAAGTATGTTGCTATCTTTTTGAAAAAGTTATTTTTATGCTAAATAGAAACGACACAAACATGTTTAGAATTGTATTTTCATATATTTTGTATTAACATGTCAATATATAAGGAGTTTCTCTTGCAACAAAAATCTAGATACAAACAAATAAACATCAAAAAATGAAAAAACAAAATACTTGAGACCCGAGTCCAGACCCACCCCACTCAAACCATCATGGTTGACACCGACCCATGTACTTAACCCATGTTGCATTCGGGTGGATATCCTTGAGGAAACCTCTTAGAATCCGAGCAATAGTTATAAACCATATAATTCTTTTGCACCCATTTCAACCTCTCTTGTTTGCTACTATCCACCACCTCCGACCACCACGAGGCGGTTGAGCCACCACCACCACATGATGACGGTGACCCTGGCTTTGCAACACAAGCCTGAGCATTGAAGTTCCTATAGGAAGCTGTGAATGGAGCTTGGCTCCAATCTGTCTTTACTAACCCACCCCGTGTTGCCCAATCATCAGCGTTCCATAAGCTCGAGTGTATCCTCATTGGTTGATTATTTGGAAATGGTACTCCTTTTGACTCTGCGTTCTTGAATTCTCGAATAGGGATTTCATCGACCAAAAATCTACCAAAGTAATAGAGGAAAATGTTAATTATGATGGACACGACAACGAAACCTCTTTTGGATATACATATATTTTCGAGGAAAATTTAGAAAAGCATGTATGCTTTTATCATATTATCCATTTAGTCACTTGAGTATATTTTGTAGCACTTCATTTATCACTTCAAAACTATTTGTCCAATTACCCAAAAATAATATTCAAGTGGCTAAATTTGTAAAATACTGAAAGTAACTTGTGTTTTTCGTTTCTGTTTTTTTTTTCAAATTTGTGTAAATAAAGTTCTTTTAGGAGCTAAAAAAACCGAATAGGTATTTAGTAACTACACAAATTAGTTAAAATGTTAAATCAATGAGATGATGAAAACATATGGTATTTTTTTCTATTGTTCGTCATATTTTCAAGAGTGAAATTCAAATATTTATTATTATAAAGAACCATGAAATAAGCTTAAACGAATACGTACAGGATGAGTTGGGGGTTCCAAAGGATGGAATACGTGTGGAAATCAGCGGTTGGGTCGAACCAAAGGTAAAATTGTTGTTCTCGATTGCCTTTGCCTTGTGTAAACACGTTTGTATGTAGAATATAAGGGTCTCCACTCAAGTTACCCAAGAACTCAAAGTCGATTTCGTCCCACTTTGTTCCCGTTGAACTCAACTGCAAACAATCATCATGTCAATTATCACAACGCAAATGAACCAAAAAAAATCAAACATAACATTTGGTTAAATAAAAAGGAAAATGAAATATTACTCTAAATTGCACTTACGTAATACGCAGTAACAGTGCCAGCAGAGTTTCCAGGCACCAACTTAAGTTGCATATCGATTTTCCCAAACAAATACTCGTTTCTTGATTCAAACCCGGAACCCGAGGACTTGTCAAGTGACAGAGTCAAGAGGTTCCCGTTATCCAGTATCTTCCCACGTCCATCACCCCATGTTATATCAAAATCATTGTAGAAATTAGCCGAAACAAAAGAATTTGATACAAGATATACAAATAGCAACAAAATTGCAAGATTTGTAGACCACAAAGAAGCCATGGATTTTCGATAATAATATAACTGTTATGTTTTGTTATGACTTATGAGGTTTTTGATGTCATTTATAGTGATGAACTTTTCGTATAGGGGGTGCCAAGTGCCAACGAAGGTCGTAAAAACAGCTGTAAAGTAGCATTAATTTCTTAGATAAATTCAATGAATAGTTTAATAGCAATATGAATAGTCAAAATGTGGGTTATCAAAATCAAACCATTAACCATATAAACACCCTCACTAGTCACGTATGTCTTCGTTGAGACGCCAACCGGTTCGGTAAGACCGGGTTTTGTAAAAAAAAAACGCGGAACATCGCTTTGAAGTGGTGTTGGTGCTTGACTGCTGGCATAAGAAAAGTCAAAGGCAGTAGATTCGGTTCTCGAAGGCGGCATGCATATTGCCCGGCCCCGGTTGGACACTTCCCTAACCACCCAATGAAAAAGACAGGGTTTCCTTAGCCTATCAAAGGTTAAAGAGTAAGAAAATTGTTTTATGTAATTTGAATTTTATTATCATATATACATCTTTTTTATAATCTTCTTAACTATAATTAAACTAACCTTTGTGATTTGTGAATAATCAATTCAATATGAAAACTCAAAAGAAGAACAATAAACTCGTGAAATTTTTTTATATTGTCTTCATCGTAATCAAATCAACATAACTTTTTATTAAATTTGTTTTATCTCTTTCATTTACAGATATAATTACCTTTCAACTATTTCAGTTTTGTTGATGTATTAGCAATCTAAATTTTTTTAGTATTTATAACAACTTTAATTATTTGTAAGATTTATATAAAGTATTAACAATTTATTATTTACGAAAACTAAAATTTAATTTTCAAGATTATAAACAAATTATTAGTATTGGTTTCTTATTGTAGAAAAAGAATCATAAATGTTGGTTTATTTTACTATTTTCATGTTTTTAAATAATAAAGCTTAATATTATGAGGGTTTAAAATCGGATATTCTAAATTTTGAATATTCGGCCCAAATGTTCACCCTTGCGTTCAAGAACAAGAATCTGAACTTGGATGTGGTAACCCTCAACATGTTCGGTCCAAGGTTTACAGATTTTTGTAAAACCGATACGGTCCAAAAGCCGGTCCGGTCCGGACCAAATTATATTAGGCTTCAAAAAAAAACAATGATATGGTGTCAACAAAAATACAAGATAAAATTATACTATTGAGTCATTATGGTTTATAGGATTTATCTGGTTAAGAGCAACTATAAAGTTTTTTATACTCTTGGTTCTATGATTTAAAACAATTACATGCATTATATATATATATATATATATATATATATATATATATATATATATATATATATATGTTGCAGAAATCGGGATTAATCGTGAATTAATCGTTTGGCGATCTCCAACCGACTAGGATTAGTGTGTTTGACGGAAATTAGGGATTAATCGGGTTTGGCATGATTAATCGGTCAACAAAAGTCAAAAAAAAAATACAAAAAATTAAACTCTTTTTTACTCCAAAAATTTCAAATTTTCAAAATTTCATATATTATACCAAGATGTTCATATTTTTGTATTTTCAAATTTTCATATTACAAATTCTCTTAGTTTCTAATTTTGAAGTACTTATTTTTCTTAAAATATATCAATCTTTGATTAATTTTAATATTTTATTAATAATCTATGATCCATGATTAATCCACGATTAATCCCCGCCAAGACCGATTAATCCCTTAACACCAGTCGACCGTCGAGCGATTTTTACAACCATGATATATATATATATATATATATATATATATATATATATATAGGCTTAGGTTATTTTGTTTTTACTAACTATTGTATGCCAGAATGCACAGATCTGGACTACCGGATGAATAGAATCAACAGTCATGATCTGAGGGTCTATGATATTACAATAGGGTAGCATGTATCATATAATCAGACAAATTTCAGCAAAAGGGTATTTTGGTCAATTAAACTATTTTAAAAAAGGAAATTTTCGGATTTTAAGGGATCATTAATTCCCTTATTTTTTAAAAATCTGAATTTTTTAAATTAATTCTAATTAAATTTTAATATTATTTTTAATAATAACCGATTTTATTCTCTCAGAATGATAAAAGGTCAACAATAAACTAGTAAATATATTTGCGGTTTTATCCTTGTAGAATATTGTTTCATTCAAGATACTTTTTATATTAAACATGCTTAAAGAATTATACAACATATTATCAGGAATAACATTTTCTAAAGAATACGAATTACATTTATTCTTAAAGATTAAAACTAAAAATGGTTAAAAAAGAAAAAAAAACATCAAAATCTAACAAAAACACTAATCCATTCCAAAAGAATATTATTGTTAAGAAACACTTTATACATTTTAGCATAATACATTTTGCAAGAATACACTCTAGTTCTCCATTTTTTTTTCTCCTTTTCCACATCAATGGCAGCCTCTTCGAAACCTAAATCCACAAAAAAAACATAATCAACTTTCAAATATTAAAAAATTCGGAACATTCTAAAAGAATAACAACTATAAATTATGATAGAATGTAGTAGACATCAAACAATTGTAATTTATTCTAACAACATGCATTACTAGTTATTCTGCTAGAATATACTATCGCTATTCTAATAACATGCATTACTCGTAATTCTGCTAGAATGCATTACCAGTTAAACAAATATACTTGTTGTTAACAAAACATTCTTAAAGACGTTTTGACAGAATGCATTTATATAAATAAATTCTGACAGAATACACACAAGTTTTAACTTATATTCTAATAGAATTTATAACTTCTTTTGTTTATAAAATAAAAACACCAAAATAACATAACTTCACATATTAACATCAATTCTAAAAGAATATTTCATTTCTATTTGTTGCTTAAACTTCAATTCCATAAGAATTCTAACAAAATATTATCTACTTTACTTCTAACAGAATATTTCAACACAAGTATAAACATGTTACCTTAACATATTCTGACAGAATCTTCCCAATAAGTCAATATATCAAACTTGCCTCTTTTACACAAAAACTTTCTCTTTTTGACATTATATCAAACACTTGGAAGGCATGTTTTAGTATCAACATTCAAAAAACGCAACAGTATGCGAATTATGCACAATTTATACCTTTATAAACCTAATGTATATATATATTTCCAACGTTAGACTAAAACTAATGGACACAAAATCCATCCATGATATTTGTGCTTTTTGTGTTATTTATTAATTTGAATTTTTAATTCACAGATTCAATGTTCAATATTAGCCATGTAAAAATTGATTGATTTTTCTTACAGAGGCTTTTCTTTGAGCCGTGAATCAATGATGATATTGATACATCTTCCATTTAATTAATATTAACTGATAATATCAAACTTCATATCGATTGCCAAGAATGACTCTTAAATAATAATTTTAATACAAAACTATGTAGATTAAAGAAAATGATTATATACTGTAAACCAAATTTTTTTTATTAAAGATGGAGACATTACCTGTTGATGATCGTTAGGAAAATTCATAAACATGAATGATTTCTTGTTGATTTCTAATCCCGATTACACACTTGCTTTAGATTTAAGGCGAAGAAGTGGTAATTAAAATGAAAGACGCAGTGGGGGAATTGAAGGTCGCCATACTTGAAGTTTTGAGAGATGTTGATTGACTCCGACGACGATGTATTGATTCGATCTTTGTCAATAATGATGGAGTCCGAGATGATGATGAGGGATGATGATGAACGTGTCGGAGGGTTAATAGGGGGAAGAATGTTTCTGAGGACGAACGTATGGAAGAAATCTGAAGGTTTGATTATTAGGTCAACATATTTATTTTGGTGATTTTAAATCAAATCCCCTATTTATCTCAATTACCATAATTATAGAGTCATGATTTACTAATTTACCCTTATTAATTTATTTAATTATTAAATTATTGCTAAATTCTCATTGGTCCATACATGCATACAATACTTGTAGAAATCATTTGAACCTAGCTATATATATATATATATATATATATATATATATATATATATATACACACACACACTAGGGATTGGTTGCGGATAAAGTTAAGTTAAAATTTGATCTTTTAACTCTGTTAAATACCTTTTGTTAGACAAAAGGCTATTTTTTATAGTTTTTTACACACGAATGTGTGTAAATCTGGAACTTTTAGCATTTATTTTCCTTCTAAACTCATCTCGTAGAGACGTTTGTAGCGTTAAATCTATTAAAGAAATTTCATCATTAATATAATTAAATTTCTTTGATGTTGTTTAATAGTGATTCTGCAATCTATTATTTGAGAAATCAAGAACTTATTAGGTTCTTGATTAACTAATACTTTATTACTACTCATTTGAGTTGTTATAAGATTTTTTTTTTGCTTTTTTATAAAATATAATTTATTATAGAGTTTATAGTTTTTTAAGTTAAAAAACTTTAACGAGATAGTTTTGTTATAAATTAAAAGATAGTTTTCACACATTGCTCGTGCTTGAGGCTCTGTGATTTCTTCGTCAATCTTGGTGTCGATCGTTCCTTCTTCCCTACGTCCTTCTAACTAGCGGTACTTGTTAGTACTAGATCAATATGATGAGTAAGACTTCAGACTTTAGAAATACAGATAGTTGCACAAAGGATGGATTAAGAAAACTTCTCTTATTTATAAACGAACTAAAACCCGAAGGTTTTTACAATTTAAAACTATAAACCCAATATGGGGTTTTACTCACACATTTGCAGATTTCAAATAGAATGCTTAAGGCTCTCGTATTTTCACTTTGCCTACAAATGAAAGCATAACTCTCTATTTATAGAATCATGGAGAGGATCTGATACAAGTGGTTTATGTCACTGCTGACCAAATCATCCACTAACTACATTATTGTGTAGTGGCTTATCTTTAAGGGTCCTCTCTTATCTGGAGCTTGTGGAGGAATCTTCTTTAATAATGGCTTTGTTATTATTATTGTCGGTAGTGGAGGCCACCTTGATGGTTAAGCATTGACAGTTGTATCTGCTAGTGCTTTTGTGGAGCGTCTTACAGATGTCTGCCACGTGTTCGCCGATTAAGTCTGGCTTTAGCAAGGAGTTTTGGAAGGCTAAGAATAGTTGTTCATCGGCCGGAGAAATCTCCTTGATGTATTTGCTGTAGATTAAGGTATTCTCATTTGGCATCATATCCATTGACGAAGATCTTGTCATCCGCTGAAAAACTGAAAACCTTATTGATAAAGATTTCAATTCTAGATTTTGCTAGCTGGAGGATATCGGCTCTTTCAAGCTTTTCTTCCATGGCTTTGCTGGGCAGATAGGTTTCATGTTTGCAGATGCCTATCTGTACTAAATGATGAGGATGATATTTTATTTCATCCTTATCATTCCAGTATGGGATGCTACTGTTGAATTTTAGAAAATGTCTTGATCCTTTTCGCAGCATCTTGTTCTGAAAGTTTTTATTGTTTTTGTAAAGCTTTTAGAGAAAAGCTTTATTTCCTGCCGGTTTTGACTAGGATAGATGGTTTTTACCAATCCTAGTTGAAATGCGTCATACACTTGTAAAGAGTTAGCATTTTTGTAGAAATTGTAGTGGCTTAAATTCTCCCCGTCAATAGTGGAAATTTTTTCTTCCGTTTTAACAAAAATTGTTATTGATGAGATTCAAAAATTTTGTAATCTATCAAACACACAAAAAAGACTAGAACGTTTTAACAAAAATTGTTGTAATCATTTAACAAAAGAAAAACCCTTAGAGTATGGATGCAAAATTACCCATAAAACAAAAAATTCTTCAAGGAAATCTTTTAATAAATATTCAAAAAAGAACAGCAAAAGATTTTCAAAACAGAAAAATACTAGACGGTTTAAACCGGGAAAATATTTCCAAAAATCCAAAGATTTTCAAAAAACAAAAGTAAATTTTGTCCGAAAAATAAAAAGAATTGCAGATGTTGGGTTTGCAGCGAAGAAGGACACTATGCCAATGAGTGTCCTAATATGAAAGATTACCCACAAAAGGTTAAACTCATTGAAATAGCGTCCTCTATGGACCTTAGGCCTATAGAAGAACAATTTCAAGATGAACAAATCGTCTACACACTGATTGAAGAACATCTTGATGAATCATTATCTTCTTCATCTACAGAATCAGACACTGATTCAGACTGATTCAAAGGTCCTAAACTCTAAAAATGTGATACTAACTATCACAAATCCTAATTCAGTCTATGTTAAAGTTACATTTAGATTCGTCGGATATAAATAAATAGATTTAAATTGCTATATTGATACAGGAGCCAGTCTTTGTATCGCAAGTAAATATGTTATTCCAAAAGAACATTGGATTAACACTCCAAAACCTATAAAGGTTTCTACAGCAAATGGAACTATAATTATCAACAAAAAATGTGTTGATTTACAGATAAGACTTGCCGGAGAAATATTTCATATCCCCTCGGTATACCAACAAGAATGTGGAATAGATTTCATCCTAGGAAATAACTTCTGTCTTTTATATAGACCATTTGTACAAAATCTCAAAACAGTTACTTTCCACAACAATGGTGTTCAAATCATTGTTGATAAAATCACAAACGATTATAGAAATGGAAAACCTGGATTTTTAGAATCAATGAAAAATAATTCAAAAATTAAAAAACCAGAACCTGTCAACATCTCTCAAAGCAAAATTGAAGAAACCTTGCCTTTTAAAATGGCGGAGAATGAGGAAGAGTTTAAATTTTCACTTAACCAAGAAAAATTTTCAAAAATTGAAAATTTACTTGAAAAAGTTTGCTCAGAAAATCTTATAGACCCAATAAAGTCTAAACAATAGATGAAAGCAAACATAAAATTAATCGACCCGACCACTATCATCACAGTTAAACCTATGAAATACAGTCATCAAGATGTCGAAGAATTTAGTAAACAAATCAAAGAACTACTTGAAATAAAGGTCATCATTCCAAGTAAATCTCCTCACAGATCTCCCGCTTTCCTTGTCGAAAATGATGCAGAAATAAGAAGAGGAAAGAAAAGAATGGTAGTTAACTACAAAGCTATTAACAAAGCAACTATAGGTGATAGCCATAATCTCCCTAATAAAGATGGACTTCTCACCCTTATTAGAGGAAAAACAATATTCAGTTCTTTCGACTGTAAATCTGGCTTTTGGCAAGTTTTACTTGACGCTGAATCACAACTCTTAACAGCTTTCACATGTCCCTAAGGACATTACCAATGGACTGTTGTACCTTTCGGTCTAAAACAAGCTCCATCCATATTTCAAAGACATATGCAAAATGCATTCAGATCTTTTGAAAAAATTTGTTGTGTTTATGTAGATGATATCCTCATATTCAGCAACAATGAAAATGAGCATGTGTTACACGTAGCAGCTGTTCTCAAAAAATGTGATCTTCTTGGAATCATTCTTTCCAAAAAGAAAGCACAACTTTTTAAAAGTAAAATAAATTTTCTTAGGTTAGAAATAGAACAAGGAAGTCATCGTCTTAATGTAGATGATAAATTAATTATCGAAACTAATGCTTCAGATAATTATTGGGGAGGAATCCTTAAAGCAATAAATTCTGAGGATCAATCCAAAGAATTAATTTGCAGATACACCTCAAGATCCTTTAAGGATGCTGAAAGAAATTACCATTCTAATGAAAAATAATATATTGTCGTTAAAAGGGTAATTGAAAAGTTTTCAATCTATTTAACACCTGTAAATTTTACAGTAAGAACAGATAACACAAACTTTGCTTATTTTTTAAGAAATAACATTTCTGGAGATAACAAACAAGGTCGATTAGTTCGATGGCAAATGTGGTTTTCCAGATATAGCTTCGAAGTAGAGAACATTAAAGGAGAAAAGAATATCTTTGCAGACTTCTTAACTCAAGAATTCCAACAGAAAAACTAATCAGGTTTGATACTCTTTTCATGCAGGAATCAAAGCCATTCAGCGTTATACTTTGGTGGTCTAACGACCCATGAGGTTTTAACCTCAGTCCATAATTTGGACTACAGGTACATAGCCTTTCTCAAATGGAGAAAGAACAAGAGCTTATGCTCAAACAAGCTCTTCTTGAGCAAGAATTGGAATTCATCGAAAACCAATTAAAAAACTGTAAGACTATTTATGTCTGAACATAAAAAGGAACTTTCTTCTCCTTCCTCTCCTATGAGTCAAGACGAAAATGTAAGTGTTCAAAAGAACATCGAACAACAAGAGGTCAATGTTTCACCTCCTTTAAAAAGAAAAAGAAACGTCTAGTCCTGAGCAAACGGCTCCAGGTAAAGACTCAACAAATCCGTTGAAGGTTGTGGATTTACCAAAAATCCAGACAGGAGTACAAACTCCAATAACGTTGGTTACACTCTTAGACTTTAATCTAAGACCCAACGGGGGAATTCAAATCCCAAAAACTGAAGGTTCATCTTCAGGATCAGGATCACCTGATAAGGGAATTCAAATCCCAGAGGAATTATTACAAATTCCTAATAAAAATTCAAAACCATACTACGTTGTATTTAATGGACCCAACGCTGGTATATTTGAAGACTGGAATATCACCAAAAAGGCAACAGAAGGATTTAAAAATATTAAACAAAAAAAGTTTAATAACTTTCTTGAAGCCAAGATAGTTGCAAATCAATACACAAGATCTGAAAGGTGCTTAGAACTATAGCTTATTACTGCAGCAGAGACCTTAAGGCCTAACACATTCAAGTTAGCCTTAAATTCTACCAAAAGTTCCAAAACCGTTCTTGGAAGCCTTCCAAGAAGAACTCCCAAAAATACTGAGGAAGTCACACCTGACCTCCCAGTAGAAATCAAGATAAAAGACTTTGAGTATTGCTACAGGTATGCCCGAAGTGCAACGGAAGAAAATTTTGTAGAAGAAAAATTCTCCACTATTGACAGGAAGAATTTAAGCCACTACAATTTCTACAAAAATGCTAACTCTTTACAAGTGTATGAAGCATTTCAACTAGGATTGGTAAAAACCATCTATCCTAGTCAAAACCTGCAGGAAATAAAGATTTCTCTAAAAGCTTTACAAAAGCAATAAAAACTTTCAGAATAAGATGCTGCAAAAAGGATCAAGACATTTTTCTAAAATTCAACAGTAGCATCCCATACTGGAATGATAAGGATGAAATAAAATATCATCCTCATCATTTAGTACAGATAGGCATCTGCAAGCAAGAAACATATCTGCCCAGCAAATCCATGGAAGAAAAGCTTGAAAGAGCCGATATCCTCCAGCTAGCAAAATCTAGAATTGAAATCTTTATCAATAAGGTTTTCAGTTTTTCAGCGGATAACAAGATCTTCGTCAATGGATATAATGCCAATGAGAAGACCTTAATCTACAGCAAATACAGCAAAGAGATTTCTCCGGCCGATGAACAACTATTCTTAGCCTACCAAAACTCCTTGCTAAAGCCAGACTTAATCGGTGAACACGTGGCAGACATCTGTAAGACGCTCCACAAAAGCACTAGCAGATACAACTGTCAATGCTTAACCATCAAGGTGGCCTCCACTACCGACAATAATAATGGCAAAGCCATTATTAAAGAAGATTCCTCCACAAGCTCCAGATAAGAGAGAACCCTCAAAGATAAGCCACTACACAATAATGTAGTTAGTGGATGATTTGGTCAGCAGTGACGTAAAACACTTGTATCAGATCCTCTCTATGATTCAATTAATAGAGAGTTATGTTTTCATTTGTAGGTGGAGTGAAAATACAAGAGTCTTAAACATTCTATTTGAAATCTGCAAATGTGTGAGTAAAACCCCATATAGGGTTTATAGTTTTAAATTGTAAAAACCTTCGCGTTTTAGTTCGTTTATAAATAAGAAAAGTTTTCTTAATCCATCCTTTGTGCAACTATCTGTATTTCTAAAGTCTGAAGTCTTACTCGTCATATTGATCTAGTACTAACAAGTACCGCTAGTCAGAAGGACGTAGGGAAGAAGGAACGATCAACACCAAGAGTGACGAAGAAATCACAGAGCCTCAAGCACGAGCAATGTATGAAAACTATATTTTAATTTATAACAAAACTATCTCGTTAAAGTTTTTCAACTTAAAAAACTATAAACTCTATAATAAATTATATTTTATAAAAAAGCAAAAAAAAAATCTTATAACAACTCAAATGAGTAGTAATAAAGTATTAGCTAATCAAGAACCTAATAAGTTCTTGTTTTCTCAAATAAAAGATTGTAGAATCACTATTAAACAACATCAAAGAAATTTAAATTATATTAATGATGAAATTTTTTTAATAGATTTAACGCTACAAATGTCTCTACGAGATGATTTTAGAAGGAAAATAAATGCTAAAAGTTCCAGATTTACACACATTCGTTAAGCAGCAGAACCCTAGCGATTTTAGAAGGAAAATAAACGTCGACCGACTAGAGGGCGCCTAGCGATTAATACCTACATACACAATGAGTTAAGCAGCAGAACCCGATCAATTTTCAACACTTTCAAGAAGTTATATCTCAATAGAAACAATTTGAGATATGATTAGTGTTGTATTAATCATATTAACCAATTTTTATGATATTAGTGGTATTTACGAACTTTTATATGATATTAGTCATAGTTATTTTTTAAAAAAATTAACAAATTAGCAATTAATGGTCCCCGATTAATATCCGTCTAGCCGATTAATCCCTAAACCCCAGTCCACCGACTACCTAACGTCGAACGATTTTTACAACCTTGATATATATATATATATATATATATATATATATATATATATATATATATATATATAGGGCTAGGTTAATTATTGGATGACATCTATTGTCCGGACGTATGTGGATAGTGTTATTCTATAAAAATAACTACGAGAATAAGTTGTTTGATAATGTGAATATGTTCAACCTCACACAATTATCGTCATTATCATGTGTTCTCACTAATTCTTATTCATTTTTATTCTTACATATCGTTTTTCACTCATTTTCATTCTTACAAATACAACTATCAATAACACATTCTGTGTCAACATTCTGACAGAATGAGAATCATAAAAAAAAAAGTCTATAATACCCCCACGTGAAAATGTTGAGAACGCGAGAACGATTATGAATCAATCATTTTATAAGAGATATTATAGGAATTTTACAATTACGTTAATGTGATAATCAATTTAATTAAATGATAGTTTCCTATAATGTTGAAATCATTTATTTAAAAAAAATTAATATAAAATAATTAAATTGAATGATTTATCTATTAAAATTTAAGAATCCACATTTGTTTTGTGAAACAAGAGGATATCTGAAAATATATAGGACAAGGTTTGAAAACACAAACCTTTAGATAATCACAACAATGGAGGCAAATAATATATTCCAGTAATGTTTGGATATAACCAATCAAGCCTTGAAGATGTAAAGCAACAAAGTGTTCAAGTAACTTAACAATAAAATAGAATATGAACGATAAGAGGAACTTAAGAACAAATAGAATGATATGATATGATTGAGTGAATGATTCTTGATTGATGATTCAAAAGGAGTATAAGTAGTAAGGAATTACATGGGGTGATTGTCCTATTTATACTAACATCAGACCAATCACAAAATGATACAATTGTACTAAAAAGTAAACTGCAGATCAACCACTTGACATAACGTTGTGGTTGACATTGTATCTTACAGGTGCTACAATAAATAAGACAAATACCAACAAACAAAATAGTACTAGTCTTCGGATCATTCGATCATCTTCAATCTCAGAAATCTTCACTTCATCGGAAACTTGTAACTTCAGATAAGTAGCAATCTCGAAATCTTGGTTGCCTCGGATTGTCTAAGGATCAATTGTCATGCACTAACACTCTCCTCCTAACTGACCCTTGATGGGTTTTGAGCATAACAACAATTCCTAAGTGTGCATGCAAGCCTAATGCTTTGGATCTAGGTTTTCTCTAGTTGAACATGCAAACATTGAACACAAAAGAAGAAACCCTAGGTTCTAGGTATTACATTCGAAATTCACATAATAGGGATTAAAATACATACCTTGATTGTTATGTTGTAATAACAATCTAAAAACTTTGTTTGAAAGACCTTTGGTAGCAAGCGCCACAAGTGTCGCGCCTCTAATGGCTCACAAACAAACTCAAGCAACCAAGGATTACTATAGAGAGAGAAAGAATGGAAGAAGAATTTCGGCTCTAAGCCTTTTTAGGAGTGTATAGTCTAAATCCAACCCTAAGAAGGGTTTATATAGGTGTTACGAAGGTATTGGAAACTCTAGGAGCATCTAGATTCCGTTCCCCTTTCCATAAAGAGGTTCTAGAATTGCCTAATGCTCAACTATTGAACATTGTCATCTTTAGTCCCTGCAATTTCAGTTAATTCCTTTAATCCCAAAATTAATTCCAAATTAACTTTTGATTAAATATTAATTAAACAATATGATTTCTAATTAATATATTATTTCCATAATACATTAATAAATCATATATTTTGATTTCTAATTAATTTATTAACCAAGCTAATAAATTAATAAATCATTTCTCTCTCTCTAAAAGTTATCTTATTCAATTGTCAGGTTTGAAGGCAACCCAAAAGGATTGTGCTACTATCAATTCAAGTTTATACCAATTATAGTTATGGGCTTAGACACCTAATCCAACAGTATCCCATTTGGATAAGTCTAATAACTATAACTGCCAGTATCACTACCAAACTGATCAGCAAATTGTAGCTACCTAAAGCCGTTGTCGAACTCTGACCCAGTCAGTGACATGTCGTTAGATTAGTGATCAAATATTCCTCCATTCTACAAGATATCGTATGGACATGAGACATGGATTATAATCATTCTCTGTGTCCAATATTTGTTTCCCGATTTCCGATTTATGACGACTGATTTCAGACTACTAATTGAACACATCAATTCAGTCCAGTATTGTCCAAGCACTTTAGATGTCATCATCAAATCATCGAGGGGCCCACGGATATCGTTTTTTCCTGTTTAGGGCAAAAGGAACGGATAAACTTCGACTTATATGTTTGTACTATTCACTCATCAAATCATACACAATAATGCGTTTTATAACATCAAGTTACTGATGTGTTTACGTATTATCAATGCAAAACTGACTCGTAAATAACAACTCATATATCTCCGTTTCAAGAATATAAGATATTATCGTCTCAAAATTACTCGTGATAAAATCCATGAAGTAATTCTTTGAGTGTGGGTTAATCCAATACTTAAATCACCATTTCAAAAGTACTCATGAGCATTGCAACAAAACCATTGCTATGTTTAATCCTCATAGACAATCTACAATTCAATTCATGACAGTGTTAATTCGCTACTTACTTCTAAAAGTACGATTGACTGTTGATGTTTGAATAATCCAATTATTCGGGAAGTAAAACATGCGAAGTGAAACACAATAATAACCTAATTAGCTATGGTCTCAAAACTATTGAATATAAATAAAACACTTATTATTTAATCATCATATTAATTAGACTTTATTAATTGCACAATGTTTTGATTAATCAACTAATACACTTGAATTAAACATTATTCATGCCATGTTCTAAACATCCATACTATGTTTCTTTATATGGTCCTTCCTTTGCGAACAGATCAATTGGACATAATTTCAGTGATGCTCATTTCATAATTCCAAATCCTTATTACAAGTGTAACAATTTCCAAAATTCTTGTCACCACTATGTGTTAGAATCTAATCTTTTATGCAATGATCCTTTTGTGATGATGTGGCCTGGAAGTCACAAAGACTTTGACAATGATGTCACAAAACTGCTCCATTGAAACTTTGTTACTTAAAACAGTTTCATGGTTACGAAGTCTCAAATTCAAGATACAATTCTTGAACACCTTCCTTGCATCAAAGTTTCACATATAAATTCTAATCATCAACTCCCATTATGGAAACATTTCCATATTCCCATATGACTATCAATTCTGATCAAGAATTATCCTAATCTGAAACACGTCACTATGGTCCTTCCAAATTTATACTTCTAACTATCCACAAGCAACCAATCTTTAGCGAACCTCAGATTATCCTTTAACAGTTGTTTAACAACTCTAGTCATATCCAGTTCTAGTCATTTTCCCTCTCAATGTCCTAGGCATTTGGAAAATCAGAACAAGTGAATATTATAGCCTATGTAATAAATCATATATCTGAAGCATATGGGATTCGATACATAATGTCTTACATAAAGACATGATACTTGATCAATCTTTTTCTATAATATTTCCATATATTGAATTTCCTATGTTGAATCACTTCAACACGATATTCATATATGTTCATGAATAAGTTCCATTAAAATCTTTCAATCTAAACTTTTAGATTCGAAATGAAGTATAAGTGCTCTCTCCCCTATAATTTTCTATAGCGAAATAATTTTTAAACTTTGCAACTTGCAAATTTGTAACCTTTGTTTCCTACAAATAGTATTGCTAACCTGCAACACTCAGCATAACAATTATGCTCCCACTAGCATAACAATTATGCTCCTATCTGCATAACAATTATGCTCCCACTAGCTTTGACATGTACCCAGAAATCAAC